GATAAAGTTCAATACTGTGCATGTTGTTTGACGTTCCTAACAGAACCCAACATATTCTGCCCAATGAAGGCACTTGCCCCACTGTCGAGGTTGTTCGGAAGCAAAACAGCGAAGGTATTGCTCAATACAACGGTTGAGCACTTCGGTTTGTCCGTCGGTTTGGGGATGGTAAGCACTGCTCATTTTAAGACTTGTCCCCATCTTTGCAAAGTACTCAGTCCAAAAGTGGCTTAAAAGTATTGGGTCTCGGTCACTTACAATCGAATTGGGCACTCCGTGAAGGCGGACAATTTCCTTTGCAAATTGATCAGCTAGAGATCTAGCAGTGAACGGATGTCGAAGTCCAAGAAAGTGGGCATATTTGGAAAACCTGTCAACCACCACCCAAATGCAATCGAGCCCACTAGACCGTGGTAAACCCGTAATGAAGTCCATGGAAATGTCTTCCCAAACCGCCGTCGGAATAGGGAGAGGTTGGAGTAGGCCAGCTGGGGACAAGGTTTCATATTTGTTCTTCTGGCAAACTATACATTCTGCCACAAATTTTTGGACATGGCGCATCATTCCTTTCCAGTAAACACTTGCAGCAAGTCGACGATATGTGCGGTATGCACCTAAATGCCCCCCCATTGGAGTGGAATGGAACTCCTCGAGGAGTCGAGAGGTCCAAGTTGAAGTAGAAGGAAGCACAATACGACCCTTATAGAAGAGGCGACCGTTGATCAATTTGTACGGGGGGCAGCTATCAGGATCTTTATGCAATCGGGCAATGAGTGGTTGAAGCGTTGAATCCTCCAAAATAGCAGACTCGAGAGCACCCCAATCCAACCACACGGGGATGGATATAGCGGAAAGTTGCAAGTCATCGTGACTGCGAGACAAGGCATATGCTACGCAATTGGTGGAGCCTGGCTTATAGACTACTTCAAAATCATAACCAAGTAATTTAGCAACCCAATTCTGTTGTGACGGAGTGGAGATACGCTGTTGTAATAAATACCGTAGACTCCGGTGGTCAGTCCGTACTATGAAACGACGACCTATGAGATATGGCCTCCAGTGTTGAATGGCCATCACAAGAGCCATTAATTCCTTTTCGTAGGTAGATTTGGATAAAGTCTTCCCAGAGAGGGCCTTGCTGAAGAAGGCAATGGGGCGGCGTTCTTGCAGCAGAACGGCTCCTACCCCAGTTCCCGATGCATCACATTCAATAATAAATGGTCTTGAGAAGTCTGGCATGGCCAAGACTGGAGAGGTGGTAACGGCATTCTTCAAAGCATCAAAAGCAGATTGTGTTGCCTCGGGCCATTGGAACGTAGCCACACAGTCCTTCTTTAAGAGTGTGGTGAGAGGATTGGCAATTGAGCCATAGTGCCGAATAAATCGACGATAATAGCCAGTTAATCCCAAAAATCCACGAACTGCTTTTAAGGATCGAGGTACCGGCCAACGGAGGACGCTGGAGATTTTGGCGGGGTCCATAGCCACCCCGGCATGAGAAACGATGTGGCCTAAATACTCCACTGAAGACTGACCAAATTGACATTTCTTCGGATTAGCTTTGAACTCATAAAACTGTAAGATATTCAAAACCACTGATAAATGTTTAAGATGTTCTTCCCAGCTCGGGTTGTAGACTAAAATGTCGTCAAAGAAAACCAACACAAAATGACGCAAGTGAGGGCGAAATATGTCGTTCATAGTGGCTTGAAAGGTAGCAGGAGCATTGGTGAGACCGAAAGGCATGACGAGGAATTCATAGTGGCCAGAATGAGTACGGAAGGCTGTCTTTGAAATGTCCTCTGGCACTACTCGAATTTGATGGTATCCAGATCGAAGATCAATCTTGGAGAAATATAGGGATCCATATAGTTCGTCGAGCATCTCTTGGATAACTGGAATGGGGTATTTATCTGCAACTGTAACTTTGTTTAACTCACGATAATCGACGCAAAAACGCCAGCTACCATCTTTTTTCTTCACGAGTAAAATCGGGCTGGAGAAAGGGCTGACACTAGGTCGAATGACACCCGCTGCAAGCATTTCACCTACCAATCGTTCAATTTCGTCTTTTTGGGTGTGGCCATATCGATACGGCTTAACGCTAACTGGTGTTGTGCCCGATTGTAGAATAATCTTGTGGTCATTGTGTCGAACCGGTGGCAGTCCCTCGGGTTCACCAAAGACTTGCGAGTAATCATTGAGTAGCTCCTCCAATTGAGTTGATTGGGGCCCACGAGGGGCAATGATGGCAGAGGTGTTGAGCTGAAATGATGATATGTCCATAAGGATGACAACATACTCAACATCTTCCAAATATTCGACAGAGTTAAAGGAGATTGGGAGGCGAGAAAGAGTCGGGTCTCCAGTCAACGTGATGCACTGCCCATGGTCTTCAAATTCCATTGTCATTGTAGCCCAATTAGCGCGAATAGTGCCCAGAGATGCGAGCCAAGTGACCCCGAGAATTAAATCGACAACACCCAAGGGAAAAGCGAAGCAATCAACGGTCATTGTAAGAGGCCCCAAATGAACTGGAAGTTTGGAAAATTTACCAGAGGATTCAGACTGGTGTCCGTCGCCCAAGCGAACACCAAAACGGGGTGTGGCCTCCAAAGGTTGTTTGAGCTTGGTTGCCAAGTCAGATGAGATAAAATTATGACTTGCCCCGCTGTCAATCATAATAACCACATCATTGTGTTCTACCCGGCCGCGAAATTTCATTGTTTGGGGACGGTCGATACCTCCAATGGAAGAGAGGGGCAGGTCCAACACGTGTAATGGGGCATCATCCATGGAATATACCCCAGGTGGGTCGTCGGTGTTAGTGTCCTCATCTTCTGCTGCGATTAAAGTCCGCAATGATTTATTTGGACAAACATGCATGGGGCTGTAGGGTTGTTTGCATCGGAAACAAAGTCCTTTCGCACGCAAGTCCTGGTATTCCTGGTGAGAATAACGCCGAATACCCTTTTGAACAATTGAAGGAGCCGAATTTCGCTGAAAAGATATACCGGCACCTGGAGGTTCAGAAGGTGGCATAAGAATATTTCCCTTCGTGGTTTTATGGAAATTGTTGGGCATAGGAGTGGCGTGGTTTGTCTGATGATGTGTGCTTGGACTAGACAAGTTTGCATTGGCGGACGTTGGGCTTGGAGTCCAACCCAAACCGAAACCCGTGCTCCACCTCGTCACTCATGCAGATTGAATATTATGTTTGTCTTGGTGCAGGAAATCGAGTTCACGAGCAATGGAGCGCGCAACCCGCATTGCAGTCCGTAAATCAGTAGCATCGTTTGGGCGAAAACGAACACGGATATCTTCCTTGAGCCCATTCACGGATATCTTCCGTGAAACTCATTGCAATATTCATCCATCGTACCAACTTGACGAAGAGCAGCTAACAACTCAATTGGTGGGGCAGACAAATCGCCACCAAATTGCTCCATTAGTTCAGATTTGAGTTGCGACCATGTCAGCATGGGATGTTGTTGTTGTAGCCATCTCATCCAATGAAGGGCAGGCCCTTCCATGCTAATAAAAGCAGTGGGAACTCGTAACTCGTCTCGCGTGCTGTGGATGGTAAAATATTGTTCAGCCCTAGACAACCAGCCAAGTGGGTCAGTTCCATCAAAATATGGGATCTCAGTTCGTTTGGTACCGAGGTGGACATCCTGTGGGGCGTGTGGTTTAGGGATGCTGATGTGATCGACTTGGGAGGTGTCGCTCCCTTCGCTGCTGTTATGCTTGACTGACAAAAATTGGTTGACCAACTCCGTAAGTTTGGAGATGGCCTCCTCGACTTTATTGAGGCGTTGCTCGTGCACTTCCTGACCCTTCTCCGTGGCTTCGACTCGAGAGTCCATGCGTGTCATTCGTAGTGGCAGGTCGGACCAATTGATAGGAGTAAAGGATCAGAGAATTAGAGATTAAAAGAAAAAGGGATGAATAGACAAATTTATTATGAAAGAAGGAACATCAGAAGTGTAAAACTTCCCAGCAAGATAACTTGCTCAATAGCTAAGCTATTAAGATTATTTCTTCCAACCCTCATTCTCACTTCCTCACTCCCTTTAATAAGACTATTACTATTATCTATATAAAGTAACAGGATATTAAATATAAGGTAAGATAACTAATTGATAGCTTTCCATTCTCTCCAGGAATCAATCTAAATCCCCTTATTCATGCCTCCCATATTGCATTACTGATTTTATTCCCATATCTTATTTATTCCTTTCCAGCTTTCCCTTTCCTCGAGTAAACAATCCATTGTTTTTCAACCTTATTTTTGGCATCTCTATCACATTTGATCTAACCGCATATATATATACTTTTGGCAAAGATTGGAAACATGTGCTAGTGCCATATAGCCTCCTACAAAAATATAACAATAACAATAAATGACATTCACCAAACTGCATATTTACAATATTGTACCTTCCCGCTGGCCATAAACATTATCCTGTCACCTCTTTTAATTGTCCCATCAATAAGTCGAAAGTATACAATGACTCCCCGATATGAATCATAGTAACTGCAAAATGGTTAAACCACATTCAATCTTCACTCATAAGTGAATTCATAATCAGTTCAATGTTTCACGTAATTCAGTACTTGTAAGCTGGTATGAGCTACAAGAATTTTCATAATCAGTATGGATGAAAAAATCCAAC